GCAAGACTTGCATTCAGTTATTTCACAGTTTGGACCAAAGCATCAGAGGGCAATTGGTGTTGTTAGTCATAGCAAAGGAAATGCCGTGTAAATCAAAGAGTTTAAATCAGAGCAGATTTGAATCAACTCTGCATGTATAAATTGGATGTTTGACTTACAATTGTATTTCTAAACTCATAGGAAGTATTCATTGTGATCATGAGCAAGATTGACAGAACTTAATTGAATAGTGTTCCTTTAAACTGTTATGATAATCCCAATGATGTGCTGCATTGACACAGGAAATGTATGGAGATCGGTTTGGTAATTGCGGCTTGTCATACTGTACTTGCAGAGACCTAACCACCTAAAAGAAGTGTAGTCATTGCCTTTCAGTCAACCAATATTTGCCAAGCTGTTGTTTATGGGTCAGTGGGTAGGTGTTTTCCCAATCACAGGGATTAATGCCAAATCCTGCTCCACCTTTATGTTGGATAGCTCATAGTGAGGCTTAAGACAAGTGTAACAGAATGGATTCCAGACTAGTGATTCAGCAAGAGTGAGGGGATGAAATTACTCAAATAGTCAAAAGTGATTGTTTTAAAATACTTTCGAGTATGGGCCCTGGGAAGAAATATTTACATATTAGGAGAGTATGAACTTATGTTCATAAACATGAACATTTGCTAAATGATAACAATATATGAACATGCTGCAGTAAAGTTACCTTTTCATTTTAGTGGGTGTGAGAATGTGCAACACTTATTGTCTTTTATGAGGTAAAATGTAAATTGGTATGTGTGTATGTCTTATGTCCAATAGATGAAGGTTTATACTAATGTGCTGGAACTGAAATGCTTTCAAGCATGCTAAAAAGTGGTCTGACATATACCACAACATTTGTGTTTGTGTGCTTTATTGTAAATATGCACTGATAATGGTAACTTTCAGGAAATAAATGTTTTTATTTGTACAGTATTTCTAACTTGGAACGTAAAAGGCAAACTACATGAAATAAACTATGGGGTCTAAAGTCCATGAGTCATAATCTGGATATACAAAGGACCAGTATTATTGGATCCTGCTGGTGTCAATCGAACTGTTCAACCGCAGGAACTTAACTCTGACAGGGTTCAAGCACTCCGAGATACTTTCCACATATATATAATATAAATGCCAGTTGTGGTTGTTTACCTTTGGTCCCTTTGCAGTAGCATGCGAATGGCACATCGGGCTACTGGCAAGTTTCATCACCAACTTGTATGTCAGCTGCAGGATCCAATATTTATGATCCTTTTGAATCTAGGCTCCAAACACCACATTTGTGATCTCCAGTTTAAATAACTGATTTGCAATGGAAATAGAGCCAGTGGAATACGTTTTAGGCATCAACATAAAATTTAATAGGAAGTTAAAATTTCCATCTTAATCATTTAATAGATCCTAACTACCTTATAAAGGTATAGTTTGTCCATATATTTTTGAAAAAGCTCTTATTTTCGTGCATTTTTTAAGATTAAATGTGTAGTCATTTTACAATACCTGACATTTAAAATGATGTTGCCCATATCTTTACTTTAATTAAGGCAATTTTCCCATTAAGAGGCAACATTCTTAACAGGGAACCAATGTTTAAGGCCGTGTGCTTAAATATAAAATACCCATTTGATCACCACTTGAAACATCAGAAGATTAAACAAAAGCCTCTTGCTTCTTGTTGTCTTAAGAGGTTAATGTCCTGACCAGCCGCTCCCCCACTCTTCCGTGCACTACTTACTGTCTAAGAGGACAAATCACAAATTCTTACTCAGTGCTGCTTTTGTATCATAACAGCAATATAACATGCATGGCTGCCACTTTTTATTTCAGCTGTCTTGTGTTACACAGTTCATCCCTTTGTATGTAACATGCATTTTAAATTATATGTGGCTGTAAAATATCCATCTCCTGTCAGTGTCTAAGATGTAATAATAAGTCAAAGTCTGTTACAGCACTGCTGTATTCTGGGCCAGACTAACTCAAGTGTTTTTATGCTTCAGAGGTTGCGGCATCACATGGGGTCAGTTGTAAAAGACCGGCTCATGTTACACTGATCTAATTCAACAGGGCTTGGTGCCTGCCTTCTTGCAGATTTGGTATGCAGTTGTCAGAGCACCAGATTTTCACAAAAGACACAAGGATGGTGGTTTATTCAACTCTGCCTTCACCTGTCCCAGTGTATTCCTGCTTTGTGTACTTCTTGAAGCATAAATCACCTTTTCTGAGTTAACATATGCCTAAATATTTGCCATTGTCCAGCACGTAGAACATTTGTGGTGCATTCTTTCTCTATTTTTAACACAGGTTTATGCCGAGATCCATAAAGCAACCAATTTGACCATCACGTCAAAGCTGGAGTCTATTTTTAACATAGATTAATTTCGCACATCAGAATTGATTTGGTTGGAAATGTATTACTTTCTAATTGTATACTACAGTGTCAACATGCTCATAATAGAAATTTGATGTTTTTTTTGTGGGGGGTTTTGTTTGTTGAGGTTTGTGCTTCACTAACTGCTTCTCACTTTCTTTTTTCTCAACAATCAGTCACAGTCTTCTCATCCTGAGTGCTCTTTCTCTTCTCTCTCACTCCATCAATCTGCCTCAAGGGGCCTTTTCCATTGACCTTGCGATTATCATTTTGTTGGTCTTCATTTTTTTTGCCTTTTAACACATTTTTTTCTGCTGAGTGCAGTAGTTATCTTGCTTATCCAGCTGTGTGATAAATTAGCAAGGTGATAGGGCGAACAAAGGAACAAAAGATTCCCTTAAATCAGAACAGATTGGTGCCTGATGTACTATTTTAAAATTAGAAATAAGATTCATACAGGTCTATTCCCAAGTGCAACAGAAAAAGGAGTCTTCCCCTTGAGCTAGTAACTTTTGATTAACAGAGAGTCACGCTGTAGTCCTATTGCTCATAATGCTGTACAGTCATGCTGGGATGAAATCATTTTTGCTTCCAGTTCAATTAGGGAACTAGTATCAAAAAGCCTGCATGCTAGTGCCTTTCAGCAAAGTAATGGCCTCAGAGATTGAAAGTCTGACAAATATTCATTATCTTTATTGCTGTCTGATCCAGATACATAGTCAAACATAGGGATATCCAACCCTCCACCTATTCCCCTCCAGCAGAATCAAAGCAAAAAGTTACAGCGAGGATGTAAAACCAAAGGCGATGGATTAAGAACACACACACACATATATATATAGTATGCCATTTTCCTGAAACCAATACTGGTTTGCTACCCAAGTGGCCGCCACGCTAGTAATAACTATCTTATTGAATGTTGCTGTTATGCTGAGATAGAATGAAGGAAAAAAATAAGAAATGCCGCAAATGTGAAATAAAATATAACGGGCTGGAATTTTGCAGCAGGTCAGTGACCAGACTGTGAAGAAGCATTAAGTAAAACTTTGGTGGTGACGCTTGATCAGAACCCTTTGGGGTATAAATTCCATTCAGCATTACATGCAGGGCCTCTGGCAGTGCATGGCTATAATAAGAAATCACATCAGTGGCCAACATCGCCAAAGGTGATGCACACAATGCTAAATAGAATTTTTTACCCATTTGGGTCTACCTGAAGAAGAATTATGATGAAGGATAATATCTATAACACTAATCCAGCTTTCTCTTTCAAATGTTAATTCACCTTCTGTGCATTTCCAGCATTATGTTTTCATAGATTCATAGAATGTTACAGTACAGAAGGAGGCCATTCGGCCCATCAAGTCTGTGCAGGCTCTTTGACAGAGCAAGTCACTTTCACTAACCCCAATCACCAGCTTTCTCCCCATAGCCCTGCAAGCCCGTCTTCCCCGTTTTGCCTGATTTAGTTGAGATTTTGCTCTTCTATTAGGGTCAGTATACTAACTTTTACTGCTATTATTTTCCCCTCGTCCCAAAAATAAACATCACAAATGTGAGCAGGATAAAGGTTTGTTACCCATCTTGCTTTACAACCATAGCATCACACCTATCTCATAAATTCTCACTAGCTGTAAAAAACAGGAAGTTAATCTTGTGTACGAATGTAAGATTGTACTTCTGGAAGAAAATGCACTTCATGCACTGAACACATTATTTAATCCACTGATGAGAAGTGCTACAGAGTGTCGTCAGAACTTGACAGCTGTATGTTAGTCATCACTTGAGGCAGTGATTTTGTATTCAAGAACTGAATATTGAGCAGATCAAACCCTTTCCCCCCTTGCTTCTCAAGTGGTTATAACTGACAAACACTAACTGTTCAGCAGATCATTTGGTTGTGCAAACAGCAAAGAAAAGAACAGTAAATGCATTTAATAACATTGGAAGTAGCTTCTATTACAAAAGGTGCCTGAAATTGGCTGTCATTCAAGAGTGTTTTTTTTGGAAAGCTGTACTTTTTAATACAGATACGTAGGGCTACAAACAACAACTTGGGCACCAGGATAATTGACCATTGTGAGGCCACAAATTAATAAAAAACAAACAAGGAGAACAATTTTTATCAGTTATTGCCACTATTAACCTTTCCTTCAGAGATGGAATGAAAAGGTTTTATAGGTAGGAGCCATTGTGTTTCCATGCTGGGACAACTTGCACTTGTAACCATTGGATACAATGACATTGCTGAGCAAGTATGTCATTGCATCACTTGTGTCAGCAAAGAGCTATCCAGAATTGGTCTCCGCACTGCCATTTGGGCATCAGTGTTGTGACTGATCTCATTACAGATTCTGCCACAAAGGCAAGAGTGTGACATGTTGCAGGAAGTTCCGCACATTCTGAAAACAACCCATAAAATGGTTATTGGAAATTAAGTAATAAGTTATATCAAACTGCACATGGCTATATAAAGTCATACGTACACTAGTTATGATTTACTCCTACAAGCACTAAAACCAGAACAGGCCTGTACACCGGTGCCTCATTGATCCAGAACTCCTGCAGTGATGCAGCCAGAAAAAGATGACTCTTCTCATTGCTATCACAGCCATGCACCTGTTTGGCCTAAACTGGCACCTGCAGCCGATGGACGGGCAGATATACCAGATCGGTGAGAACAGAGCCAGCAGTTGGCCAGTGCCAACGGACGTCACATTGTCTCCCTCTGGTGGCACAGGTTTAGGCTTGCCTGAGAGGAAAGGCAAAGGAACCAGAGAAGGTATGGTCTACTGTAAGCATAATGAACCCTGTATGAGTGCTATGAAAATGCCTTTAAACCTGCAGTATACTATGATAGGCCTACAGAGGCTGTATTCGTAAAAAAAATTAAAGAGTACAGTTCCCTTTTAATATTTTTCTGCCTTCCATAATTCCAGAAAGTGTCTCAAAAAGAGAAACTAGGTTTTGCTAAATCTTTATAAACAATTTCAATATTTCTCACAGGCTTTTGTTAAATCACCATGTATTCATTCCCTGTCTGTTGCGATGCCTTACCTTTCAATGCAGCAACGTTATATTGCAAAGTATTTAAGACCATGATTAATGCATGCTAACAAAGAGCTCCTGTGGTTACAGCCATGTGATTGTAACCATTGAGTTTGATGTCTTCTGTAAGATTCCCCATTGTAGAAAGAACATTGAATAGAAAGAGTAGAGTCGGGGTTCCAAAGATAATACCAAGATTGAGAATAATTATGGAAATTCAGCCTGAAAATCAAGGCTGATTTCATTGGAACAGAGAAGGTTAACAGGATCTACTAAAGGTCATCAAAATTCTGAAAGGTTTTGAGAGGATAAATATTGAGAGATTATTGCCGTTGGTTGATAAATCAGTAACTAAGCTGCAAATGTTCAGGATTGTCTTTGGAAGAGGAAGGGTAGAAAATATTTTGTCACAAGTTATTAGGTTATTTAATTGGGTTGTTAGAACATGAACTGCTTTAAGTGTCTCCTGAAGCTAAGGTCATAACATTTAAAAGCTAGTTGAATAAGAATTTTCAAAAGAAATCACATAAAAGTGGTGAAGGTGTAGAGGATTTAGGTAATATATAAACCTTGTATTTTATAATTTCTCTTGATTTTGCCACATTATTTTTGAAGAAATCAAAACCTTTTCTGTGAAAATTACAATAGACTTAATGTTTGGTATTGAGTCGGATACATCGCAAATGAATCCAATGTTTTCATGCAGAGAATTCTGTCTTGCAAGATTTGGCTGCTTTTCTCATTTGAGATCAGTACTTGGAGGGAATGGTGCCACCAGGTGTTTCTGATTTCCAGTTCAAAGTTCTTGCACATATTTGGATATGATAACTATCTACCACTGGGGGGGAAATTCTGGTGAGCGTTACATGCATCGCCTTTGGTAGTTTTGGCTTGTAATGGGATATTCCATTGTAATCACTCAACAGAATTTTAACCCATGAATGGCACCAATACGTTTTGTATTTCCAGACACCATCGACTGATAGAAAGTCTAAATGTTTCAGTTTCCATATCTGACTATTAAGGAGTTTAAAAATAACCATTTGCATATTTGATCAAGATATACCTTTATTTGTCATCCCTGTTAATACATATTACACATTGATCTATTAATATTTCCTGCCAAAAAAGGTTTATGGCTATTCTAATGCAGATCCACACAGTGATTTTGTACAGCAGAATCGTGTTCTTTACAGAGAGTTTTAGAATTGTTTATTGTCAATGAGGTTTCCTCTTTCTGAAAGGTCAGCACCTGGTTGCTTGAACTTTAGGATGCGGATCTAAATTCCTCAGCCTCCCTGGGCTCTCCCTCACACTCACCGAACCAGTGCGCAATCTAGGCATCCGGTTCAGCTGTCCTTCCTCCCCCACATCCGGTCTCAGACCAGGACTGCCTTCTTCCACCTCCACCACATTGCCCGCCTCCGACTGTACCTTACCCCAAATGCAACCAAAACCCTTGTGCAAGTGTTTGTCACCTCCCACCTGGATTACTCCAACGCACGCCTCGCCGGTCTCCCCAGCTCCACCATTCAAAAGATCCAGCTCATTCAGAACTCTGCTGCCCACATACTGACTCGGACCAAACTCTGTACCCACATCTCACCAGTTCTGGCCAGACTCCACTGACTCCCCATCACCCAGATCAATTTCAAGATCCTCACTCTCGTGTTCAAATCCATTCACTCCCTGGCACCTCTCTCCCTCTCCAAACCCCTCACTCCCCAATCCACCACTTGGCGCCTCCGCTCAACTGGCAACGGCCTCCTGCTAGTCCCTCGCACCCTCCGTCCCACTATTGGAGATCGCACTTTCAGCCACTACGCCCCAAAACTCTGGAACACTCTACCTCAATCCCTTCGCCTTTCCCCCTCTTTCCTCTCTTTCAAGTTCCACCTGAAAACCTTCCTCTTCGACAGTGCTTACAGCCACCTCCCCTCTCTCCCCCTCCTCCCGCCCCCGCTGGGAGTCAGGCTCTGCCACTGTTAAGGACTCTGAGACGCTACCCTGCATGGAGAGTGCTGTATAAGTGTAAGTTGTTGTTGTTGATGCTCCATAGGCTTTTTAAGCATAGTGCTAGGGACTTTAGTTCATACCATTCAGATTTACTGCACAATTGACTGTTCACGTTATTCAATGAGATAAAACAGTGCAAGCCAAATTTCATAATGTTTACATTTGGTATAGTTCCTTTCACGTCAGGAGGACATCTCAAAGCGCTTCTCAGGATAAACTGTTAGGTGTAGTGACTGCATATTTTGTAGACAACCCAACAACCCAATTTACATATAGCATTGTCCCACAAACATGCATGAAACGAATGACCAATTTACCTTGGGGATTGTTGGTCAGAAAACAGGGAGAAGCTCCCTTCACAAAAAAAATTCCAGTTGTACAATATGCTTTAGTCTTATCATTGCCATCATTTACCTCTGAGACTGAGTTCTGAAGCCTTCACTAAACTTGAATCAAGTCACCACTTTCCTCGCTACAACTTCACTTCCAGTACATATGTGTGGTCAATGCCACAACATTTATTACACTCTAACTTTTCCATTTGTATTCCCACTTATCAACCATGACTGAGGCACCAATATCAATTATGCTACAATAAAAAAATGCATTACATAATGTATTACATATAACATTGTATTGCATATAAATACATTTATAAATTCATATTTTATTTGCGAGGCTGTCTAATAATTTTGATGATTAATTTCCTTGTATAGCCCACACAGTAGCTACATAAAATGAACAGTTGACCAGTTAACATTTGAAAGAAAAAGAATAGAAGTTTATTCTGCACAAAAATATTGAGTGAAAATAAATTGCCTTGTTTATGCACTGAACAGATCCAATAGCAATAAGAAGAAACTGAGCTTAAAATAAATACAATTAAGATAGATATGTAATGTAGGAAAGCTCCCTCATATTCATAATTAAAATAGGAGATTTGGTTAGAAACAGCAATGTAAATATTGCCTGTGAATCATTGCAGATATGACTGCAGGAGATGTTTCAGAAAGTTAATCAGGGCATTTTGATCTTACAGTAGAGTAATTGATTCCCATTAACAGTTCCACTTTCTGTTTATTTTAGTGACGGGCTTTTACTTTAATTAAAACTAGAACAGTTTATTGTTTAAACAGGGCAAAGTAACTGCAAACTGCATTCAGTACTTTGTTCTGGAATTCCATTTCTATTCTTTTATATAAATCCTATTAAACGACTGTGTAGTGATTGCCAGTCACCACAATATCTGCTAGAAAGAAGCTGAACTTTGATGACGGCAAATGGCCTGTGATATACTCAGGCCTGAAATTGTATCTGCTCTTAATCTGAAAGACAATTCTGTCTTAAAATTCAAATCACCCAGAATTGTGGAAAATTCATCAGGTCAGTGTTGAAAGCTGATACAGTTTTAAAACTGCAGAGAAATGGCTTCCAAATTAAAATTAATTTATTAATTTTCCATAATTTGAGTCACCTGAAATTTTAAGACCAAATTATATTAGAAGCTAAGACTAAATCCAATTGTGAGCCTCTGCTGCTCAATTATTGTTATTATATTGTCTGAGGAAGAACCAGGACCATGATCAGTAATCCAGAAAATAAAACTTATCAGAAACAGTTCATAAAATGTAAATAATTAAACGCTGTTCTACATCAACTTAAGAATTGTTTTATAAAATATGTTCTTTGATCTGTTCCTAATCTTCTTGTTTGGAGTGAGTGAAGAAAAGCTTTGAGACTATGTCAATCAAGTACTAATATGAATCATGGAATCATAGAATTATACAGCACAGATGGATGCCATTTGGCCCATCGTGCTGGCTCTTTGAAAAGAGCTACTCAAATCAATCCTACACCCCAGCTCTCTCTCTATAGCCCTGCAAACTTGTCCTCCCTAAATAATTATCTACTTCTCTCTTAAAAGTTGTTAACAAATCGGCTTCACCATCCTTTCAGGCAATGCATTCCAGATCCAAATAACTCGCAATGTGAAAACATTTCTCCTCAACGCCCCTCTGTTTCTTTTAACAATATTTTAAATCGGTGTCCTCGGCTTACCAACCCACCCGTCAGTGGAACTGAATAGGAGTACTTCCAAGTATATCAGTATTTGACATGCTCTGAAAACATGGCCAGCCCAAAGAAATTTTAAACAGCTGTGGGTTGTTAAAATAAATTACTTTTATATTTCAAAAATGCTTCTTAAATTATTAGGAATTCAAATAAACATTAACACCTGGTTGGTGGTGAGAATCCAGCTGTTTTACTTGGCCTTGAATTTTTAAGACCAATTGTTCAAACACATTTTTATGGAGCAGGTTGGGCCTATTCAGAACAAAGATCAGCAAAACTGTGGTCTAAGGTTTCATTAAAAGGTGGAGGTATATCAAAAGGTATATCTGTGGACACTGTTTGCAATCATTAAAATAAATTTATTGCCAACCAAAAGGCTTAGTGGTTTTAACACTTACAATTAACAGCAATGATTTTGCAGAGTAACAGTTTAAATCGTGTTCGTCACATTAAATGAATTGCAGGCAGGCATTTTCTGAAAGCACAAAATCATGGACTGTATGTATGACACAATAAATTCTGCCAAGATTAAGAGATGTCTTGGCAGACCTGAACCTGAATAAGAGATAGTTACCTCCCGAGAGATCTTTATATTAAAAAGATAGATGTTAAATATTACTATAGATGTAATGTGATGCAAAATCAATAGCATTAGAATGGCAACCCACAGAATTTTCCATGAAATGAACAGAACAACATTGTACACAAATGCAATTGCATTCGATCAACTGTAACCAACGGCACTGCAAGATCAGTGTATAACTTTAAGTATTTTTAGTATTTTTAGCTATACGTATCTTAGAATTGGACATATAAATAATAGATTTTAAAAACTAGCATTTGAAAGCAAGAGAGGTAGATCAGATTTCAAGTAGCTTATGCATAGCTGGGTAAAAACACTGCCTTTTGCTTTTATTATGTATCTGTGCATATGATTTTGCTTCTCCCCTTCTTTCTCAACTTTTCTTTGAAATGCATTAAGTTTGAGCCCATTTGGAATGATTTGTATTTTCAGCCATTAATGAAATATGCAGAAACCTCACCCTTGTGTAATGATGAAGCACATTTTTTTTTGGTATCTTATTTCCACAGGAAAAACGGACCATTTGATCCCAGAAGACAACTGCATAGATTCTGGAGAAATCGATGTGGGGCGGAGAGTCACCAAAAAGATACCACCTGGCATATTCTGGTGCACTCAAGTATTTATAGACCACCCAATGTATTTAAAATTCAATGTATCATTAGGAAAGGATGCTCTGGTTGGGATATATGGTCGTCGAGGCCTTTCACCGTCACACACCCAGGTAAGCATTTTACTCAGCAACTTTGAAAGTGGACAAATAAAAAGTATTTTCTGACAGTGGAGTGTTCAGTCTACACCTCAACAGATTGGCAAATTACTAGCTACCATTATGAAGTGGCTACTTGGGCTCAAGAGATCGCAAGAGAAAGTTGAATAAAGAATATCCTTTGAATCTAATTCTCTTTGAAAGCAGACTGAGCGAATCACTCTGACCAGCAAGACACTTCTCTGCTTTCTGTGATAATATAATAATCCTTGCAATTTGTTTCTTTTTGCATTCTGCCTTTGCTAACCAAACCTCATAAAATATTGCAAAAAATAAATGGCTACAGTCATGTGAACAGTTTGCTCACAATGCTATATTTACATATTTCAATTATTTTTTTCACCCACAAGGCAAAAGTACTATTCCTGAGCACTAACAGATTTACTGCTCTGCTGGTAAAGTCTTATATGCTGTGACCTGTACCTAACACTTTGAAATCCTCAATTTTGATTCTATTTAATTGATTACTTTAATTTTAAATATGCATATTAAATACCAGTTTGAGGTTTACAGCATGACAATAGTCCAAAGTGCTCTAAGGTATCGGTACTTTATTTATGCATTGACTCCATCTAAATTGATGTGCAGATGGACCAGACAATAGGTTTATTGAGGAAGTAGAAGTGTTTATAAATGAAGGTGCTTATCAGACTGAGGGTTTAAGACCTATAACTTGTGGTATCCTGTAGCTTAGTGGTTAGAGCAATCGCCTCGCAAACAAAAGGACTTGGGTTCAATTCCCAGGCAGCGCGAAATGTTGGGCAAGTTTCCTTACTACACACACCTCTGTTTACCTATCAGTAAGTAGGAACCTGGTTTTAGTCGATTGGCAGATCACCTTTCCGGAGGTGATAATCCCTTCAATTTTTAAAAAAAATAATAATTATAATTTTGTCACTCAATCCAAGACTGTTTGTGGGACACTGCTGTGCGCAATTGGCTGCTGCATTTCGCCCACATAATATACAGTCAGTTCTCTTTATAGTATATTCTGTGAAGCGCTTTGCATTGTGTCGAAGACGTGATAAGGCACTATATCAAATGCAAGGATTACTGATATTATTATTGGAACACAACACAATTCGCTTTGCACCTGATTTTATTATGCCTGATCTTCCAATGCTTGATGCTCATACTAAATGTCCAAAATAGAAAAGCATTCAATTCCCCAGAACATACATTGAGGTCTATATTGCAGTGATTCCTAACAGTAGTCATCAGTAATGATTCCAAATTGCAAATAATGATTTCTTCCAAAAAACAGGCATACATTGTGCTGCCCTACAGAAACACTACTCTGATGGAATCTACGTTTGAAGTAAGGTTCCCACAGGATATTACTTCCAATTGCAACTTGCAATTCAAATTGCAACTTGGAGTCATCAATAGCATCTCCTATTGCAAATATCTGCAATTTAGACTATTTTGAATTAATTTTGAATACAAATATACTAATAAAAATAATAATCCTTGCATTTGACATAGCACCTTATTACATCATTGAGATGTCCCAAAGCATTTCATCGAATAGCTAATTATTTGGTGTCTGTTTATGATGGGAAACCCCATTTATGAGCAAATAAAGTAAAGCTCACATGGTATACCACATTATGGTTTGTATACATTTGATTCAACTCAGAACATTACTTATGGAAGCATATGCTTTGTGATTGTACATTTAAAGGAAAGCCTGAAACAAAGTAGTTGGTCTTAAGTGTATAAATCCCATTTGAATTTCCCTATCAAATCCCAGGTTCATCAGCTTTAAATTACTTCCAGCATATGATATTGCATTTTAAATATTCTGACAGTTTGCTAACCAAGATAGTATTTCAAAACTCTTATATTGCACTTGGTAGATTGCACTTGGCAGATAATTATAATGCACATGTCGCATCAAAATAACCTTAAGCTTACATAAATATTACATGGGCTTTCTCTTTGAAAATTACAATTGTTTAAATGCAAAGTAGTTTCCGCTGTTTTTAAAGGCATTTGAGCTGCTTTTATGCATTAAGTGTTCATGTTATAGAAAACATAATCCAACTGCAGACACCAACTAACAATTCTATAAAGGCACCAACTAACAATGCTATAATACCTTTCACATAAAGAATCTCACAAATGTACTGTGTATGTTGTGAATTAGACTTTGAAACTGTGCAACAATAATCCAAGAAAAGAGAATCAACTGATTGAGAACAGCAGCGTTTGCATGGAGTCTAGAGTAAACCATTGCCAAAGCCTACATAACTAGATCATGGTGACTTGCTCTTCATGCATGCTGAAGACTAGAGGCTAGCTGGAGCTGGATTGATTGATGTGCTTTTAATGGACTATCACAATAACATGTTTTGTCACTCATTTCTTGTAGTTTGACTTTGTGGAGCTGTTGGATGGAAGACGTCTGCTTGCGCAGGAAGTGAAAAGTCTGGAAGATTCCAGCAGCAGCACAGAAGTTTGGTCCCTCTGACAAACCGTGAGACTGGCTTCATCCGATATCTGGATTCTGGCATCTGGCACTTAGCCTTTTACAATGATGGGAAAGAGGTGGAGCTGGTCTCCTTCATAACCACTATTATAGGTAAGCTATGGAGTATAGAGAGGGGAAGGAGGAGGGATGGAGGCTCATGTCCATTAGAAACACTGACATGGACTAGGTGGCTCTTGTGTAATTTTAAACTAACCCTTGCAAGATAGCTTGCAATGTCAGAAAATGGAGTTTAAAAGATTTTCTATCACAGAAAATAATAATCCATGCATCTGGTACAGCATTTTTGATGTCAACATGACATCCCAAAGTGCTCCACAGGATTTACTGTGAAGTATAGTGACTGTGTATTTTGTAAGCGATGTTAGACAATGTAAGCACAGCAATAACCCATAAACAGCAATGAAGTGAAGGATCAATTTTATCTGAGCAATTGTTGGCCAGGACATTTGTGACAATTTGTGGTACATTTCTGTATGCAAATTGACTGCCGCGTTCACCTACAAAATGCAGGGTCACTACACTTTAGAGTGTATCCTGTGAAACACTTTAAAACGTCCTGCTAACATGAAAGGCACTATGCTGCAGCATATGTAAGAATTATTATTGTATTATTACTATAAAATTGGAGTGTTGAATCAAGGAAATGGACCTGTGTTTATCCTTACAAAGGTATATTTCAATGACAGTTTACAAATGCAAATAAACTCTGCCATTGATACCTGGATATTGGAACTTTCAGCACCTCCCGACTTGAAAGGCACCATAAAAATGTAATTTGATGTTGTTGTTGGAGCTTGTGCATATAACTTGCTTAATGAATTACCTCAGAAACCTAGTTATACAACAAAATGATTTACATTCCCTAGGTTCAGTTGTTTCATAGACAGTACCCAGGACCCTTTGTTGTTGAGTTTTGCTTAATCATTTTACAGCAAACTTCAGAGCAGATTAATTCGCTAGAGGATGTGCAGGACCCACCACAGTAGAAAATAATAAGTTTCTCTCTGCTTTTGGGTCGTCTCCTAACACTTCGTACTGAGGGACAATTGGCTCTGCAATAGGATTGCATATGAAATATTTAGTTTCAGAAGGTAATTGAGTTTCCATAGTTTCCTACAGGATTCATCATAACACGATCTTCTAACTTGTCATTCAATTTTCTGGAACAAGACACAGGGAAATAAATGGCCTACTTTCTATCTGTCAACCGCAGAGACTGGCAGGATAATGTGTTTCTCTGTGCATTTCAGCACAAAGCTTAAAATTAACCTTCGGAGGATTATTATTGCATTTTTACATCATCCCCAAAAGTGAAACAAGAATATGAATTTTACATTTAATTTGCAAATACACGGCTGAACCCATTCACACTAGATTCCACCATCTTCAATCCAATCTGCTGGAGTTCATAGTCTGGAGGAGACAAAGAATATTCAGTTTTCAGATATCTAGGTTTATAAAGTATACCAAGTCCAGAAAATGTGTGAAAGCACTTTTATTTCCTGTTACATTCTGTAACACTCAGTTGTAGATGCAGTCCAGTATACAAAACGGTGTACAAGCAAGAGGACTTGGGTTTGATTCCCAGGCAGGGCAAGACAGTGGGCAAGTTTCCTTACTCCACATGCCTCTGTTTACAGAGGCATATTTACTTAGCAGTAAATAGGAACCCAATTGTTAGTCAATTGGCGGATTAATTTTCTGGGGGTAATAATCCCTTAAAAAATTAAATGAAGAAATAATAATAATTTGATCACTCAATCCACGACTGTTTGTGGGATACTGCTGTGCGCAACTAGCTGCTGCGTTTCACCCACAAAATATACAGTCAATTCACTTTACAGTACATTCTGTGAAGCGCTTTGAGATGTCTCAAAGACATGGTAAGGCACTATATCAAATGCAAGAATTATTATTATTAATATAACTTACACTCTGCCCAGGACATTCCAGCTTAGCCTTCTTTCACACTTGCTTGTCCTCCCTAGGTACATTGTGCCAACTTCTGCCATCCTGGTGGATAAAAAGGTTACAATACAGTTCATACAATTTACATTTATATAGCCCCTATCATGTCGGGGGGACTTCTCAAAAACCTTGACAGTGCTGCCTTGGTCACCTTAGCTGGGGTGAGGAGCTGAAGGGGATGGGGAGGGGAAAGATGACCGAAAGCACAGTCAAAAAGGTATGTTTTGAGGTTGGCCTTAAAGGTTTAGAAAAAACTGACCGGTTTTATTGTGCTGCAGGTGCAGCTCGTATAATGACGAGCCATAGAATTGCCTCAGTGGTGTCTGACTAAAGTCTACTCCGTTTGCACAGGATGATGTGCAATGGTAGTAAATAGAAGCGCTGACCTGAACCAAAAAGGAAAAAGATTAGAAAGAAACCAAAAATTCAATCATAAAAATCTTCAGTGCAATGATATATTGAAGTCAAAACTGAGATATTCCCAAATGGGGCTGCATAAAATCCATGAATATTGAATCCTCCAGGACACAGGAAGTCTGCCTTGCCAACCCATAGGAACTCCAATTTGACTTGAAGAGATTGAATTGAGTGGAATTCTGTGGATTCGTATGACACATCTGGTTACTGTCAGGATTCAGTGTTTACAAAGTTTTGTACGAATTGTGAATATTGAAGTTTTGATCCCATCATTTATCTTTTTCGATCATGTTTGCACATTATTAAAATACGATATTAGATTGTGCTGTCTTCTTCTTTCAGAGTCCTTGGACGAATGTCCTGCCAACTGCTATGGAAATGGAGAGTGCGTATCTGGAATGTGCCATTGCTTTCTGGGTTATATTGGTCCAGATTGTGCCCGAGGTAGAAGCTTCTTGTTGTTACCATGGTAATCTGTTGAAATGTAGACACTATTACAATGACCATTACCTGAGGGTCCTTTTTATATCTGTCCTGGGGAATGAAATATGAATTTGTAACATAATGTACCCTTTTTGGGAAACGAGTTACAATGAGACCAGAATTCAGTTCCCCTGGTGCTGGTGCTTCCTCTCTTACTAGCATGACTGATGCCCTTTCAAGTTTGGAAATTCATGTCAGAGAAGGAACCAGGGCAAGATTCTCTCAAACGCACTCCAAACACTGTTTTTCTTTTAAGTGGCCAATTTTGTTTCAGTTTGTCAATCCCAGGGAATCTTAATCTAAGGAGTTGATCTCTGAGGAGCCGTGTTGTGCAATCCCTCTTTGCACAAGTGAACTGATGAGATAAATCATGAATTCTGCAGATGTAAGCAAACCGCGGTCCCTGCAAGAGTGGAATATAAATCATGTAATGCTGGGCTGTGCAGCATATTCTGTTAGTAGAATTGGGGGACTAATTTTTGTTTATTTTTGAGCTATATTGAAAGGGGGTTCACTTCTGTGCAACTTCTAGACTTCTAGCTCACTTTTCAGCAATGCGAGCTCGCTCACCTCTCGCCTGAAGAATGGTAAACAATTTGAAACGATTAAAGTAAGATTTTATAATAAGCCTTTCAAATATCCTGCATGTCATTGATTGACCAACTTTGCCCCAAAGCATTGTATCAGCACTGCCGTCACCCGTCACTTTGTGGTCCCTGGGCAATAATTTGTGCTTGGGATTCTGCACACTCTGTTTTTGTCCCGGCCAGATGAAGTTCTTGCCCACAGGAGAGAAAAAAAGTAACCTGGAGGGGCTCTCTACTGCACTCCCTGCCTTCTGTCCTTGCAGAATATTGAATGGCCTTTAGAGGCCTAAAAAGAAAGGAGAAAATAAATGATAAATGGGAGGGGGTGCATTTTTCTTTAGAAACTATATCAGTAAAATCCTGCAGTATAATAGCAATTTCACATGATGAGATTTATTCAGCTTTTAATCAAAGCTCATTTTTATCTCTAAGGAACCACCTTCCTTCATTTCAATCCATTCTCGAAATGCTGCAGAAAGATACCTATAATGTGAAAGAACAGTTTAACATTTTTGAAAGTCTCCCAGTCAGTCGGCCTTTGTGTAAGTATTTACAGTACTTCCTTTCCTTTTTCGTTCACAGCTTCTTGCCCAGTTCTATGCAGTGCAAATGGTCAATATGTGAAAGGACGCTGTTTGTGCCACAGTGGTTGGAAGGGAGCGGAGTGTGACATTCCCACAAACCAATGTCTTGACCCGTCCTGCGGCAACCACGGCACCTGCATCATGGGAACCTGCATTTGCAACCAGGGCTATAAGGGAGAGAGCTGCGAAGAAGGTACGTGTCCAACTGCATCATTAATCTTCTATTGTCAACATGGTTCAAATGTCTTGAGTTCATTGAGGCTGAGGAGACGCAGAGTTTAATCCTCTCCTAGACTTCTGTCTCAAGAAAGAACCTGAAAGGTTATAACTGATAAAGATAAGATTGAAATACCCATTGTGCTTCTGTTTCAAAGGATTCATTATGACACAAAACACATAGGGTTGAGGTTATAGTAAATGTGAATTCATTCTGACTGCGTACTTACCTATTATTTTGTTTGCATGAAAGCTAATGTGACCCAATGCTCTCTTTTCTGTCATAAAGCCCTCCTAAAAAAAATCACTTTTTTTCCCCACTGACCTTTCCTTAGAGTGATTAATTGCCAGGAGGTAGCCTCTTGTCAGTTAGCTCCTGAACTTTGTACTCTGGCCGACAAGCATCTGCTAGCAAAGAGAAGCTCTTAACTCACTTCTCGAGGCCTTTTCCCTTTCTAACCACGTTGTGTGTCAGTGGAGTGATGGCATGACAAATAGGCTATATGAAAGGCATCCTGTGTTAAAGCAGTGATTCTTGCATGTTGCCATCTGTTATACAACACTTTATGTTATTTGTTAGCTCGTCTGTCTTATATGTATATAATTTTATCACTCCTTTTACATCTATGTAGACCTGTGCACATTTGAAAGTGATTTATCTTACAGCTTTCTTTGTTGAGTTTTGACAAGTGGAAGAATAGCAAATCACACCTGCCAGTTTTGAGGGATCACACAGTGGTCTGTGACCCAATTCAGGCTCCGTAGCTTTTGCGGCCTTTATTGGCAACAATAGGGTTGAAAATGCAATGATTCAAATTGATTAATTGCGTTATTTGAGATTTTCGGTTTCCGAATATTGGACTCCAGCATTCACTGCGTGGTTCAGCAAAGGCATGTTATGAATCCCAAGCAGACAAAGGTCAATTTGCATCCCGATTTTAAGATTTTGCTAGTTTGTGATTTGTAAATCTCACAGTGAATCTTGCAAGACAATATTCCTAAACTTGGATTTGGACTTAACACAAAACATCTGATTTATGCATTTGTTTCAGAGCCCTATAGCACTTCTCAATTATATCATATTTCTCCTTACCCTTCGTAATAGTGCCAAAGTTCCATAAATTAGTTCTCCTTCTGCGTTATTTGCCTTTCTCATCACTTTCCAATTTAAAGACCAAGTCTACCACTTTTTAGGCCTTGTTAGATTCAACTTTGCTGCCACCACTGATTAGCACTGAGCTCTTGCTCTGTCCACGCAGTGCACAACGCTGCACTTGACAGCAGTACTCAGTGGTAATCAGTGTCTGGAGTGAAGCAGTACAGTATAGCCTTCCTGTATTCCCCTTTGTGTTGAGAGATCTGTGTAAAATACCATGAATTCCAGATTAAAGTGATTTCTTTGAGTAGCCATCAATCAGAATGCAACAGAAATGCAAGTGATTTATTTTTTAGCAATCTTTAAGCCTGGGTTGTCTAGAATTTACTTACAATGCTATTTCTAATAATACAGGCAAAATGCGGATGCATTAAAGACCACAAAATCAGATTGCGTATTGATTTCACAGTATGGAATTCATTTTGTCTTCACATTCAATTTTTTTTTTGGCAGTGCTATAATTAGAAACTTTACATTCCTGCTATCTTAATTTTATTGTAGCATGAACTAACAGTGAGTCAAATCGTTCAGATTTAGCTCTGCCTTTGAGGGTAACCATGCTAATTATGACAGTAAATCATTACACCACCTGGTATTTTTCATTGGAAATGGCCCTCCTGGCATATAGAACTTTTAGCAGGTTAGTTGTGATTGAATGAGGTCCATTTTATATGCCTTGAATGGATATCACTGGCTTAAAGATGCACTAATGAGGAGAAATTGCACCTGGGTCCAAAGTTATTCTATTTTCTTATTTTTTGAAGTGTTCAGAATTTGGCAAATTGTTGAATTCAATCTTAACTTTGAAGTAGCTTTCTGTAGTTCAAAAAAATTATAGAATTTATTTACAATGCCATTTCTATTAATACAGGCAAAACGCAGATACATTAAAGGCCGCAAAATCAGATTGCATATTGATTTCACAGTATTGAATCCATTTTGTCTTCATCTTCAAATATGTTTTCTGTAGTTTCAAAAAGAAATGATAGAAAACCAGCATCAAAGAGAGAGATCAAAATGCATGTTGTGGAGTCTGGTAGCATATTGGTTAGAGCGCTCACCTCGCAAGCAAGAGGATCCAGGTTCGATTCCTGGGCGGGGTAAAATGTGAGGCAAGTTTCCTTACTCCACGTGCCTCTGCTTGCCTAGCAGTACATGGGAACCTGGTTGTTAAGTTGATAGATGGATTGTTTTTCCAGGGGTAATAATCCCTTAAAAAAAACTTGGACACTTTCCACGACTGTTTGTGGGTCACTGGTGCAATTGGCTGCCGTGTTTCACTCACAAAATATACAGACAATTCACTTTACATTCTGTGAAGCACTTTGAGACGTCTCGAAGATATGATAAGGTGCTATATCAAATGCAAGTATTATTATTTTTAAAAAGTTCTGTGCGTTCTGAAAATTAATCGTTTGATATATTCTGCAGTTAAATGTTTAAAAAAACGTAAGCAGGTCATTTATGCAGGTAGTCTTGAGGTGAAACTGCTCTTGTTCAGCGTCTGACCATGCTTGTTCACTGTACAAATTGACCATGGTCATTTAGTGCAGGGACAGACCACACTTAGGAAAGAGACTAACCATGCGTGTTTGTGTAGTGACTAACTATTCTTGCTTAGTGCTGAGACTGTAAACAATATGTGTACTGATAACTGTCGCAGCATAGACTGAAGCCTTTCGGGATCCAAATGGTGTGTCTCCCAAAATGTTTTATAAATACAGACACACAAAAAAAAACAGATCAAATCAGATTTTGTGGGGGACCAAAAACAACTGCAGAATTGATATCAATATTCCTATTACTTATCAAAACAACTATCTAGCTCTTAGATGTAAAATAGTTAACATTGTTCAAATTTGAGAAGAACGCGTCTCTGTGATTTCCTGAGACTTTTAGACGTATCTCTGTGTGTAGCAGCCAGCAGCTGCACCAAGCGAACAGGCGTCTATTTTTGCTTCGAAAATGTCCGAGCTTGTAATTGTTTTTATGCGTAATTGATAGCCTGTGCACCACAAAGAAAACTAATTTTACCAACTCGCAACTGAGTAAGTGCCTGTTCCAAGGAGTCCTCGTTGTATTATCTCAGGTTTATTTTAGAGTAGTCAGTCATTCATAAAAGATTTCTTTCAGATCTGACAGACCACCCTGAGATCTTTACTAATACTGTTTATACGTTTTTCCCTTTCGCATCCTCTACAAAAGGAGCTTTCTGGGAATCTTTAGCCAATAATGGAAGCAGTGTAACAGATGCCTTAATTTCTGAGCACCGGTTGAATAAACAATCCGCAGTTAAATTATATTTTGATTTGGATGTAAAAAGCTGTTTTGGTTCTCAAATGGTTAATTAAGACAGGCAGCTCTGGCAGCAAAGAGATTTAATCTCATAACCTCTTCTCCTTGAAGGTGTACAGCTGGAGTATATGGTGTGACAGATAATGATTTAAAAAAAAGTGAGGGGGAATTGCTTGAAAGATATTTGGATTCAAAGTGGTTTTATTCTGAAAAAAAAGTAATTAACTCTCAGTAAGTAACAAAGTCACAGTTATTAAAAATGTATTAAAGATGCTGCATCCCTGCTGCATTTTGATTCATTTTCCACAAAAACATCTTGAAAAATAGACGTTTGTGACCCAATCAAACCTTACAGCTAACATGTGGCGAAAAGCTAATTAGCACCATTGTACAAGCTACGTCTCGGAGGAAATTCCAGTGCATCACATCTCAGATAAAAGTCACTTTCTACCTTTATTAGAACTAAACGTTTAAAACGATGATTGCAGCTACCAAGAGGTAAGCATTAGCACTGTTGTGCAGTTGCTTTGCCAGGGATCATCACGCATCACTCTTAATGAATTGTGGCTGTAGAAACCTACACTTCTCTTTCTGTCCCTTGTTTCAGAGATCTTATACTTTATGGTCTAAAGTTGTATTAGATCCATTTTCTAATTGAAACCAGTTCAAACTACATCTAAGGCAGTTATATCAGCTCGAGTTCGGCTTAGAGAGCAACTCTGTGTGAGGCCATCTCAACCATGATCGTCCCCTAGTTTCAGCACTCAAAGAACTAGCGTGTGTGAAGGGCTCAAATAAATGCAAGTTGTTGTTGTACTTGTTTTGAGTTTCGCACCATCTGTGAAATAATAATAATAATCCTTGCATGTGATACAGCACCTTTCACATCAGGAGGATGCCTCAAAACATTTCGTAGGTTTTATTGTAAAGTGCAGTGGCTGATATTTTGTAGGGAAACATCTGTTTAATATCACAGAATAATAGAATCATGGAATGTTTGAGACACTGGGGCTATTTGGTTCATTGCATCTGTGCTGAGGCTCGCTCCCCACTGGAACCATCTACTCTAATCCCATTGCATTGCTCTTTCCCTATACTATTCAATACTATTTTTCCTCAAGCATTTATCCAATTTGTTTTCATATGTTGTTATGGATTTGTTTTTTACCAGCCAGTAGTGTAAGCTACTTCATACACCATACCAGCAAGCCTCCAAGCAAAAACATTTCATCAAACCTTCCCTTTTCTCTTCTTACCAGTGATAAAACTCAATGCATGCCCTTGTATTGCTGACTTCAAAGAGGAAAATAGATTAATGCTATACTTTAAGTTTCAATGACATTTTACCTTTCAGAAACAATGTATTTCCAGTATTTTTTTTTATTTTTTAATTTACTTAGTTTTTTTTAATACATTGAGGTATTGCAGATAATAGCAGCATCAAGCATTCCTGGATCAGTTATATTACTAACTAATTTAGAGTGAGTTTGTTATTTTTTAACTTCAAAAGCACAAAAAGAAGATAA